CGAAACGAGCTAAGGAAGGAAACGCGCCAGGTTCCGAAACAACGGGCCAGGTGTGAAAGCACCCTAAGATGCTTCTGAATCAGCTTTATCCCCATGTAGCATTTGAGAGTGAGTAGACTGTGAAACAGTAGAACAGTACTGTTTGTGTTGGGTGCTACAAATTTTTTTTTAAATTTGAAAGGGTGCCATGACTGAAAAAAGGTAAGGAAACGCTGGTATAGAATATACAGTATTTTCTGCCTCCTTCTGTGATAAAAAGTCACATCAGATCACAAAAGGAAGTTGTTTCTAACACTCAACTGATGTTGCATAGTAAAAACATGTTATAATGTTATCTTTTGTTGGACGACAGGTTTAGATTAAGTCATTACAAGTGAAGATATTTGGCGTGTGTTGCTTTTTCAAATGCATGTTATAAGTGGGGAGGCGTTTCCTTACCTCAGCGCATAGACTCACAGGTACACAAACAGAGCCAATTCGGAGAGAAATAAAACGCACAGAAATTTTATTTAAAAGCAAAAAAAAAATTTTTTTTTAAATCACAGGCGCGTATTGAACCGTGATTGTCGTACCGAACAGTTCACTATTATTTTAAGAATTGTGGCATCCCCTACATATACATACATATATACACACATAATTTTGAGCTACAGGCAAAAAAGTTAAGTGTAAAATGTCAAATTTGGTCGAATTTGAGGTGCTTCCCCTCAGCACAAGTTTGGTTTAGTTGTAAAGCGCAGCATTCCAGCTTTGTGAATATTCATAGAGAATTCTCGATGGCACGAGTCTGAACCAGTGAAATGTGATGTTCAAACCCATGCTGAAAGCTCTCCTTTTGATTAGGGATGCGCTGATCCGATATTCATATCGGGTATCGGCTCCGATAGTGGCATTTTTCTCGGATCGGGTATCGGTCAGAGAGGGCCGATCCAAATCCGAGATTTTATTTTTTTTTTTTCCGATTGTGCGAATTATTCTGTGTTACTATAAATTGTTTTTAACGTGCACAGTAACTGAAATTTAAAACTGTTAAAAGAAAGGCTCAATAACTGTTGCACAGATATAATACACTACGCATCAATTTCTCTTCCCTTTGTGCATTGCAGTTTTTAACACAAAGAGCTTACAATGTGCGCATCCGGTGTGCAGAATGATGCGCTTGAAGCAACACGGCGTCAGGTTTCATTTCAGGTTTCATTTCATCTCAATGGATGCGCAGCGCACCTGTGTTTGTGTATTTGGCGTAACGTAAACTGTAGTGTGAAGGCGCACGACTCGCTGACGCTTTCTCTCACACGCGCAAAGAGCGAGAGCGAGCGAGAGTCTTACATAACATGCAGAATTGATGCGCTACATGTAGAGTCTTACATAACATGCAGAATTGATGTGATGCATGTAAACGATATTCTTTGTTGTATTTTTTATAATAAAAAGAAGCGTTAGCAAACTCTTGAGCAGCAACAACAGTACCATGTACTCTGCCATTGTTGTGTATGTTTGTTCGCGCTTGCCTTTAAAATCGACACGTACTGCGCATGTCTACATACCTAACACGTACTACGCACATGCATGACGTCACCGTTTTCAAAGATTCCCGTATTCGGTGTTTACACGGAAACGATAACGGTGGCGTTTTCAAAAACGTGCACTTTGAAACCCGTTTTCAAAAATATAAGGGGCCGTTTACACGACAACGTTTTCAGCCAAAAACGGGAAACTTTTTATACGTTTTGCCTGTTCGTTTACACAGCATTTGGGGACTGAAAATGCATATTTTAGAAAACGTGATTCAAAGTGCACGTTTTTGAAATGTGTAAATACGAATCGTTTTGAAAACGTTGTCATGTATAGGCCTACATGAAACTTTTTAAAAATGCAAGGGAAAAACTTATCCGTTTTTGACTACATCGTTGTCATGTAAACGTAGCCTAATTAAATTTAGACTATTTGGTGTCAAAGTGGAAAGCAAAAGCGCCTGTTCGGCAATATTTCTATACTTAATATATATTATGAGTTGGTCTTAGTTTGTTTTTTTATTGTTGTGTTTTTCATTAAAAACAATATTTTTTTAACAAAACAGAGAGAATGTGAAGTTGTACTGAACTGGCCGACAAACACAGCCATGCAGAAACAGCATGAAGAAATCAAGCATGCTGTGATAAAATAATCAATAATATCAGCCACAGAACGACAAACACAATCAGAGGAGGCCCGTAAGAGCACATGACATCTGATCATCACCAACATCAGTTATTCATACACCATACAAGCACTGGACAATACAAACCGCAGCGGCACTATCAGCTCGAATCACTCCCGTTTATTAATACAGCAGAACTATTAATACAGCACTCACTTCTAAGGGGTTGTGAGAATAACTGTAAAAACACGACCCAGAGCACTCGCTCATATAACAAGACAACATTAGCAGCAGCGCGCTGACAGGTCGCTACATGTCTGCACTGTCTGAACGCGTCCGGCTTGAATCACAGCAGAAAACAATGCAGCGCTGCCATAGTTTCATCCATCTGTCTGCACTCATTAGTACAGGAGAGTCATTCAGCACACGACCTTACGGAGCAACTAATGAAGGTGTGTGTGTCACCAACCTAACAGGGACTGACACAGCAAGCTTCTAGCTATAGCCCTAACCACTACACCACAATCTGAGAGCCTTCAGGTGGTGTTTGACGCATATGAATGGTTCAAAAGTCAATACCAATAATTAGAAAGCAGGGTGACCGAACTCATGCTGCTCTGACAGCACAGATACATTATCGTTCATAAGATATTTTTGAAAGAAATTATTACTTTTATTTAGAGCTGCATGATATTTCAAAATAAAATTGATATCACTGACTGTGATTTAATTAAATAAATATATGCTTTATTACCGTGTTTCAGTGTCTTGGTTCATTTACTGTAGGGCTGCACGATAAATCGCATGCGATATTTAATGCGCATCTTGTCCTTTACCGCTGATTACAGAACCGGCTTTACTGATAAGATGCGCGTTAAATATAGCATGCGATTTATCGTGCAGCCCTAATTTACTGTGAATCGATCCATTCAGAGATGCTGATATCATGAGCTGTATGCGTGCAAATGAACACAGAGCCGAACTTCACTCTGAAACTGGCAACACATGTTGTTATTTGCCACCAACCCCTTTAAAACAAAAGCATGATGGTCTATTGTTTAAACATTTGGAAATTAAGACATAATTTTACAAGAAATTACAATTATTTTTATTACTCAATTTTTCTAATTTACAGTGTAATTACTAACATTGTTCTTATTTTTCAAATATATATATATATTTATTTATAAATTATATAATATTAAACCACAAAAATTATTATTACAGTCATTAAATTGGTCAAAAACTGTGGGAATGTGGCCTATGAAAACTCATGTGGAAAGAGTTTTTTTCTTATTGAATATATATACACTCTGAAATGGTTACTGAAAGAGGTTTGAGTTGGTTCTGGTAAAAAGTAGGGCTGGGACAATAAATCGATGCATCGCGAATCGAGAAATGATTCTGCC